AAAAAAAAAAAAAGCAATGACGCAAAAGTCAAAGGTTAGTTATGGTAAAGCAAAGATGGGAAAGATGGTGAAATGGAGAGAGTTACCCTGCACTCAATGTTGAAGGTCGTTGTATAGAGGGCGAGGCGTTCGTGGTGCATTACTAATGTCGATGGAAAGAAGCAATTATGCAAAAGACAACTATTAGTCATGGTAAAGCAAAGATAAGCAAGATGGTGAAAAGGAGAGAGTTACCTTGCACTCATTGTTGAAGGTCGTTGCATAGAGGGCGAGGCGTTCGTGGTACAATGCTAATGTCGATGGAAGAAACAATGATGCAAAAGGCAAACGTTAGTCATGGTGAAGCCAAGATGGGCAAGATGGTGAGAAGGAGAGAGTTTTCCTGCGTTCGTCCATCAAGGTAGTTGTATAAAGGGAGAGGCGTTCGTGGTACATTGCTAATGTCGATGGAAAGAAAAAAGTGATAAAGTAAAGTAGGGGCAAAGAAAAGAACTGGTGCCGAGTCCACTTTGTTTCAGACCCCGTCGTTTTATTTTTGAAAATCCATTTTTGAACTCCGCCCATGACTGAAATTATATCTGACCAAAACACTTTGATTGGTTGGAAATTGCGGCTCCCGTTTATCCGATTCGGGTAAATAGTTTTGCCATTTCCGAATATTTGCTTTATATACATGTTTTTGATTTTTTTGTCATCGGAGCTTTCTTGGCTCAGTCGGCAGAGCGTCAGTCTCATAATCTGAAGGTCACGAGTTCGAATCTCGTAGAGAGCATTTTTGCAATTTTTTGTCGTTGAGCGGAGTTTGAAGATGTGTGGATTTGAAACCATAACGCTTCCGGTACAAAGAATCCTTTTCATTGCTTCTTCTTTGCGTCTTCATCACTTTTTTCTTTCCTTCGAAATAAGCAATGCACCACGAACACCTCGCCCTTTATGCAACGACCTTCAACAATGAATGCAAGGTAACTTTCCCCTTTTCACCATCTTGTCCATCTTTGTCTTACCCTGCCTAATATTTACCTTTTGCTTCATTACTCATTTTTTATCATAGTAGATCGTTTAAGATGGCAACGGATGTCGGCTCTCTAGCACTAGGATCGGATGGGCATGGACTTGTATTAGGGATTCGGACTAAGGGATTACGATATGATTTTTTTTTTCTGTGCACTCACTTCTCCATTTCTCCTATGTAGATTCTTAGTCAGTGCCCTGCTAAACATCAGTACTTGCTTGCCGACTTCCCTTTGCCGACTACTATTGATACTTTTTACGCCGCTGGTCAGCTCTCCCTTTTTGAATTCCTTCGCTCATTCTTCCCCATCTTCACTCTCTTGGTCATGACACTAGTTTAATCATTCCCCTTTTTCATTCTCTTATTCATGACACTAGGTTAGTCATTTCAAGTCTTGTGCATACCTTCGTAGCCTTACACCCCTCATATAGTGTAAAAATAGTCTCATTCACTCAATAAAACTCACTTGAAATCATGTCCTAGACCACCGTCTCAAATCCTAAGGCGAAACTGAACGCAGGAAATGAGATATCGCTGCTGTTGCTCAGCTTGTTTTTTTTTTGGTGTACAATGAGGAGTTTACTCTGTGCCATGTGTATGAATAAACGAGCCTCACATTGAGGCTTGAATACTCTGCCTTTTGAACTTTCTCTACACAAGCACCATGTGTTCCTGTTGTCCTCCAGTTCAGAAAACCAAAAAGCTGCCAAATTTTCAACCCCCGCTTTTTGAAAAAAAAAAAGTTGGATCATCCATCCCCTCTGAATAGTGTCACATTTTGTTGGACCTGAATTTTCTCCTGAAAGAGATAACAAACCTCACCTCAAATTTTACATGATAAAAGTGGTATCTCTCATCTATCGATTGATGCCCAGGATGTGGGGGGGTTGGGTCAATGATTGAGCGGCTTTGGGGCCACTGAAGCAAGTCGCTGTTTTTGGCCTTAGTGTGATGTATAGATAAGCACAAAGCGCATGTATACTTCAATTTTGGCATCCGTCAAAAGATGTACGCTTTATCTAGGTACTTGTGAAATTTGAAGATGAGTTGTCCATTTCGGTTTCGAGAAACAGGGCAACTCTTCACGTAAAGTGATTTAAAAAGTCAAATGTGTTCAATAGCCTCGCCTGCCCACTTATTTCACGCCCCGCCTTTTTCAACATCTCCTATGTCAAGACTTGGCGCATCGGTGAATGTCAGAGTTTCCAAGCATGAGTGAAAAATGTTTATAAGATAAAGTCATAGAGATGGTTTCAAGTAGGTTTTATTGACTGCACGAGATTATGGTTATGCTATATGTAGGACCTATTATGGAATGACTATTCTAGTGTAAAGAGTTAAGGAATAAAGAGAGGAAGAGCTGACCAGTGGCGCAAAAAGTGTCAGTGTAGTGGGCAAAGGGAAGTCGGCAAGCAAGTAGTGATGTTTTGCAGTGCAGTGGCTAAGAATCTACATTGGAATGAGAGTGCACCTAAAAAAAACTGCGAGGATTTCGTCCAATCCCCAATTTGATCACATGTCCGTCCAGTCCTGGTGCCAGAAAGCCTGTATCTGTCGCCATCCCACTCGATCATCTAAAAAAAAAAGGAGCAATGATGCAAAAGGCAAATGTTAGTCGTGCTAAGGCAAAGATGGACGTGATGGTTAGAAGGAGGGAGTCACCTTCCCTTCAGTGCCATTGTGCATTGGTTCATAGAGAGTCTATGTCAAAGGTGGTGTCATTCGATGGGGTGGTAAAAAGTGATCAAGAAGCGAAGAAGAAGCGAAGGAAAAGAATTGGGGTGGTAGTCCTTTCTTATCCGCCACAAGGAAAAGTTCATAATTCAAACTCCGCCGTTAAAGGTTGCATGTTGACAGGCAATTTGACGAGGCTATGGCAGCGCCGATCACAAAAGAAACATTCAGTTATGACAGATTGATGGATGTGTAGGACACCTCGTTCGTCATTCTACCCCTTTTGTGTGGTTCCGTATTCATGTGATCGACACTGACGGGTGAATCGTCGCAAAACAAGTCCATCTGCTACTTTCCTTCGCCTCATATCCTTTTCATTGCCCTAGGAAGACAGTCAAATGGGTCGTCCATTTCTGTTTACTTCAACATAACCTTCAGCGGATCATCATATAGTGTGTCCTGTTGATCTATGTGAGCGATCAACCGTTAAAAGCAAAAGCGGTATGCCAGGGGGCGCCTTTCCATATTTAGAAATATTGATTCAGGGGTAGATTATAAAAATGTTAGCCATCAAAGATCGTGCATCTGAGGTTGTCAGTGTCGAGCCACCCATCACAAAGCCATCATCATCCATCGTCATTCCTCCTATCCATATGACTACATACATAAACATGAAGCAACTAGCAAAAACAAGAATTTATTGAATAGCGTGCATCAAATAATAGGGAAGACTAGTATAGTAGTATAGGTAAACTAGATTGAGAGGGAAGCACCGGAGCGAATGGCCTTGTCTTCCAACACCTTGTGTTCCAAGCCCAATTGCTTGTCAGTCCACATGGGAGCAGGGGCGACAGAGTTCTTCACACCCACACCAGCGCAGCCACCTTCGGCAGTCCAATCATTCACACGCTTAAAGTCGTAGCGGTCCCAGATAGTTTCCAAAGAGTCCACGAGATGATCGATCATTTTGGCATTATGACCAGGGGTAGGGGTGATACGGAGTCGTTCTTCACCACGAGGGACGGTGGGATAGTTGATACTTTGCACATAGATTCCATGTTCAGAGAGCAATTCATCGGAGGCAAGCTTAGCGGCAGCAGCATCACCGAGCAAGACAGGCACAATATGCGAGGGATTGGGCACGACAGGAATACCCAAGCTACCAAGACGAGTCTTGACATCACGAGTGTTGAGCTGTTGCAGTTCACGTTCGCCGGTGGATTCTTTGAGGTACTTGACTGATTCCAGGGCACCAGAGACGACAGCAGGGGGGAGCGAGGTGGTGAAGATGAAGCCAGGAGCATAGGAGCGCACCATATCGACAAACAAGGCAGAGCCGGCAATGTAGCCGCCAACGACACCATAGGCCTTGCCAAGAGTACCAGTGATTATATCGATTTCTTCCATGATGCTGCCATTACCCATCATAGGCTGAGCGGCATTGAGGTCGTAGTCCAGATGTTCAGCCACACCAGCACCACGAGGACCGTACATTCCCACGGCATGGACTTCATCCAAAAAGGTGATGGCGCCATACTTTTTCGCGAGATCGACGATTTCACGGATAGGACCAATGGAGCCACACATAGAGTACACCGACTCAAAGGCGATGATCTTGGGGACGCTGGGATCGACAGATTGCAAGAGTTCTTCAAGATGGGCCATGTCGTTGTGGCGGAAGATTTTCTTTTGGGCGCCAGAGTGACGGACACCTTGGATCATGGAAGCATGGTTCAGGGCGTCAGAGAAGATCACACAGCCGGGCATTTTCCCAGCCACCGTGGACAAGGTTGCATCGTTAGCGACATAGCAGGAAGAGAAAACCAAGGCACCTTCTTGATGATGCAAATCGGCCAATTCGGATTCCAGACGAAGATGGAGATCAGCGTTACCGGCAATGTTCCGGGTTCCACCAGCACCAGCGCCATATCGATCTAAAGTGCGTCTATCAAACAAAAAAGACAAGTGACAAGCCGAGTAGGGTAAGTGAAATGTAAATCAAACCATCGGGGATCCCATGTTTGCTTACTTCATAGTTTCCGTCAAGACTGGATTGCGACCCATCCCAAGGTAATCGTTGGCACACCAGACAGTTACTTCATCTTCGACACGGGCAGTATGGGCACGAGGAAACTTTTGGGCCAAGCGATTGATGTTGTTGAAGTAGCGGTAGCTCTTGTCCTGATGCTTCTTTTCCAATTCGTGTTGATAGAAGGCTTCATAGTCAAAGTGTTTGGCTTTTGTTTGGTGAGTCACAGGAGTGGCAGGGGCGACCTTAGCAGTGACCTTAGGAATAGGGGCGGATTGCACTATAATGTTTGATTTGAGTTTCGTGAGTAATCCAGTGATTTTTCTCACACTCCCCAAAGAGATTTTTATGACCAATGACCCATTATCCTTTTTTTGGGTTGTATGTGCTTACCTTCGGCTTGAGCCACCTTGGAGGGAGTTTGCGAAGCAGGTGAAGAGGTTGAGAGAGGACGAGCTTGTTGACCCATAGCTTGGCTCATCACAGGACATTGCTGAGCTTTGCGCAATAAGCCATTTCCAGCAGAGGCATTGGCAGAGAGACGTTTCAAAGCATTGGTGGATGTAACGTGGATGAAGGGGCACGATTTCTTGGCTTGCATCAAGGCGACTTCCATTTTCAATGTAGATATAGAAGGTATGCAAAGAGTATGTAGGAAGAGAGGGGAGGAAGGTCAAGTAATGTAAGAATAAAGAAAAGAAGAGTAAAACAAAAACAAAAGAGAAAGACAAGGCAAGGGAGGCCGACCATCGTAAGTTTATAAAAAAGTTTTTCTTTTCAAACACCGCCGGTAAAATGATTAGCATACAAGAGTTCCACCAATCAGGGACGAAGACGAGTTCCATTATTCATTGTGTTACAACTCCTCTTTCCATGTGCTAATTGCAGATGTCAGGGTAGGGATCAATGACTCTACCAGGGTGGTGGATGATGATGATATCGGGTCTATAACTAAGGAAGAAGTGCTAGTAGTAGTAGGTAGAGATGAAGATAGAGAGGTAGAAGAGTCTATGATGGATGAGATCAAGGGGGAAGATGGTACAAGTGATGGTGGATC